CACTCACGTGATTCTGTTTCTAATCCTGTTCCGTGTGTTATATCTATGACGGCAGTGCCCTCTTGACCGTATTAATTCCAATATTTATGAATAAGTCTTATTGAAATCAACAGTGGTGATACCATAGGTCACAGTAGAGTTATCCCCCCCTGGCCAGAGACTATATTCACAGCTGCTAATATTCCCGGTAACTAGGTGAATGTAAAACATTGAGGGGCAAGCATGAGCCATTGATTGACTTTTTGTAATTTCAACGATATTTAAAATAAAGGCTTAGTCTCAGTCTAGTGTGAGAGAAAATAACATTGTTCTCTGTTTGTGAGACCATTACCTGCATGAGTATTCAGACCCTGCCCTCATGGTCAGGGTCTGAACAGAGCAAATATCACCAAAGAGACAACAATGAGTGCTACCAAACTACTAAAACTAGTAGTTAGTGTAGTTAGTGTAGTAGATGGAGAGTCCCAAGATACAGCAAGACAGAGTGAGGAGAATAGCTCTGGTTAAAGCAGCTTTAAAGAGACCAAGGGTTAGTAACACAAAAGAACAACATCCCAAGAACACTGCAGCAAGGTGCTTTGCTTTTACTATCATGCCATATTCAATTAAATTGAATCTGGTAGCTATAGTAATTGCTGACCGTGGGAAAAAAATTTCGAATATTAGCAGTCTCAAATATAGTCTGGCCTATGGTATTTCCCATGTGTGTTTATTGAGGGGGGGAGCATCTTGTTGGTCATATCTTGGTTGGCAAAACTGCAGGCCAACAGCAATAGTGGTGTCTTTTTGTATGGGGAATTGTATAAATAGAGCACAAAAGGGAACCAAGCAGAGTTTTTATAGAATACCAAAAGTGGTCCAACATCTAGATCTAGGAGAACTGCAGGTGAAGAATTTGACAGAAAGAAGGTAGATAAATTATTTTCTGCTGCATGCAGCTTCATGAGAATACAAAGTATAGTTTTCATAAAACAAGCATCTGGATTTGGGTGTGTCCGGAAATTGCTTCTTTACTCTACTTTAAACAATATAAGTTAATTCCACTATTGTGGGCAAGTCGGCTAAGTATTATTAAAGTTAAATAGCCTAATCTTCATTGAATTGCAGGTGTGATCACAATGAATAAAATGGTGGCTATCAGCAAGTCTGTCTTCATTTGCAGCAAGATACCATATAGCACAAAGTTTTGAGGCAATAAACTTTCGCGAATCAGGCCACAAGTCTTTTTTTGTGAATTAACTTTACGTGTTTATGGGCTATACGGATAGTTTTGTGGAATTAACTTTCGCAGATACGAAAAATCCGCGAAAACAGCGAAAGTTGTACCCTCGAAATTAAGTGGCTATACAGTAAGACTAAACTGCTATCATAGTACAGTGTGATGGCACACCATTAGTGTGAAAAAATTTTGGGTGATATTCAAACACACATGTTCCATCTTGATTGACTTTTTGTCAACCAAGATGGCCGACAGGATGCTACACCCCCAATAAAACACCCACAGGGTTAACATTACTATTAAGATAAAAGTCTAAATTAATGTATTTATAAAGAATTTTTTTTGATAATTTGATATAGGTACACAAAGTGAAACACGAACTAGAAAAATTATAATAACAAAGACAGGCTCAGAGAGCAAGTAAAGACATTAATACAAGAAATGTATGCTCTTAATTTTAGGTACTATAAATAATTATGTGTGATTATTACATTTGGACATTTTGGATTTACCAATCAGATCACTTATCAGTTTACCAATCAGAATAATTATGTATTGAAATTAAAATTAATAATATTAATGATTGTGTAGTATTGTTAGTTGTTACTATGGTAACATTATTATGTACTCCTGTAAAATGATTGATGTCCTTTGATGCATTACTTCTTCAGATCTATTCTCTCTATAATCAGGTTCATCATCTCTCCTGTGTTTGTTTTGTGAGCTCTCTCTCTACTACAGAGAGAGAGAGACAATGTAGATTATAATAATTTTTTCATACCCATGGCTGAAACAGGTACAGCTGCTTTTCTAATCTCTCCTTGTTAGTTAACTATACGTATGTTATACACCGAGGTAGAGGTTTCTATGGGATTTATTAACTGAGTGACCTATGCATAAAATTAGTGTTTTGTAGTACTATAATTGTTGTAGGTAGCTCTGGTAAAATTAATAATACTATCGTACATCCATTGTTTGCTTTTTTCTCTATTAAACCTGGAACATTTCACTTGAGAGACAGACAGAGGATATGCCAGCCACACCTGATCTAATATACCATTCAGTTAACACTGGAGAAGAGAAAAGGATCAAGAGGATAAATAAATTTGTCTTTTCAAGTCTTACAGTCCAGTCCCTTCCAGTCAATTGATTTCTCCTTGTTGCAAAACACTGAGTAAAAGTTACGAGCCATGCCTCTACCAGCACTAAAACTGAGGATTGAAGACTAGAGTCAGACACATTATTATTGAGTTAACTATGATTTGCAAACTCTTTGAACAATTTCTAGTCTTTCTTTGTTAGTTAGCTACTTTATATAATGATATTAGCGTTAGTTTTTTTGTTGATTTTTGGTATTTTTTGGTTAATTTTTTAGTATTTGCATCTATAACCTGGATAATTTTCAAACAAATTCAGTTAACACTGAGAAAGAAGAGAGCAGAACAGAGAAAGAAAGCCTGTTGCTTTTTAAAAGTCTTACTGTCCAGTTGCCTGCATGCGGAAGCCATTGTTATTTTATGAATTAATGTTATTTAACTTATTCATTAAAATGAATTATTCATTAATTGTCTGCACATGCGCAGTTCTCTCTCTCGGCCTCGCACATGTTCTTTTGAGGAAAAAGCGGAACAAAAATGCCTCCGAAAACAGCCTCTAAAACACAAAAGACCCAGCCCAAGACCCAGAAAGCCAAAGCCCCGGCTAGTAAGCAGCCAGTGAAGACCACTGGGGCCGAAAAGAAGAAGCAAATAACCGGGAAGAAGGTAACAACAGGAAAGAAAACTGGAGCCCAAGCAGCAGCAGGTAAGAGCTTAAAATTAGCATAAAATAATTAAGATAAGAACTTTTTAAAAAGCAACAATAAGTTTAGAAATGTAAAGGAACTACGTCCTTACAAAAAGCTGCTTTTTTAGTATGGCTAGTGGGAGGGGCTTGATTTAATTGACCCAACCCACCATAAACTATGAATATTAATTAGCTAATGTATTTTTAGCTGCTAAAGCAACAGCTCTCAAAGCAAAGAAGGCTGTACTTAAGGGAACCCAAACGAAACACAAAAAGAAGATCCGTACCAAGGTCCACTTTCACCGCCCCCACACCCAGCGTCCTCGCCGCTCGCCCAAATATCCTCGTAAATCAGCACCGAGTCTGAACAAGCTTGACCACTATGCCATTTTGAAGTATCCACTCACGACCGAATCTGCAATGAAGAAGATTGAGGATAATAACACACTTGTGTTCATTGTTGATATTCGTTCCAATAAGCCAAAGATCAAGATGGCTGTCAAGAAGATGTATGATATTGACGTTGCTAAAGTCAATACTTTAATAAGGTTAGCAGTACATGTGCTATTATTGGTTGCTTCACTGTCTTTGTAAATAATATCTTCATATTTTTCAGTGTATTATTGTTATCATTAGCCTTTAATGCTTACAGTTTTTAAAATAGATTATTTTCGGGTTTACGAAATACAGTTTGTCATTCTTTAACAAAGATATTATAATTAAACCACAACATCCGGTTTCATTATTTTATTAATTTATTTCTGTATCTTTATCTCCTCCAGGCCTGACGGATTAAAGAAAGCTTACGTGAGATTAGCTCCTGATTATGATGCCTTGGATGTTGCTAATAAAGTAAGAATTAAGAATTAATCTCTTGTATTTAAAGTATATCTTCTTTCCTCTTTCTTCTATAGATCGGTATTATTTGAACAGTATTATTATTATTATTATCGTTTTCTTTGTCAAATCTTAAACTTTAAATTTTAAACGAGAAGAGGCCATTCATAGCAATAATAATAATAATGTTAATAAGCGACTCTTAATTCATAGTTATTAGTTAGTAGACAGCTCTCCCTCCAGTGAGGTCAAAGGTGAATCCTGTGTTGAAACTTGCCTCTGGGGATACTATAAATTTGACTATTGATGCCACTTCATCAAGTGTTCCACACCTAAAGCACAAATAGAAAAAAATTATTCCTATTTAATCAAATTGGAATAGGCTTAGTTACAAAACGTTATAGTTACAATTCACAATAGCAGCCTTAGTAATGGTTTTTATGGTAACTGTATCCAGGTTGTATAAAAACTAAATTGATCAGATTCTGTTTTATGCTTTATGTTTTATGTTTTATGCACCTAAAATCATAAATAATAAGATTGTTACTCAAATTGAAATAGGCTATTATATAGTTTCAAAACATTTATAGTTATTACAGTTACTATTCACAATAGCAGCCTTAGTAGTGGTTTTTGTAGCATCTAGGTTGTACTAAATTGATATATCTGTACCTTTTCATTGGTATCTTATCAGTCATATATTTAACTTGTTCTTCCTTGAGTCCTTCCACCATTGCTGTCTTTACTACTGCAGGAGCCAGTGCATTAACTGTAATCCCTGTCTCTGCATATTCCTTCCCTGTAGCTTTAGCAAGACCAATGACAGCAGCTTTACTAGTACTGTATGCAGCCATTCCAGCATTGCCCTAGTGGAAGAGGAATTAAAGTAGCCCATTTCTCAACTTTCTTTATCTGCAATTTAATTTTAAGGATTCACTCTACAGTAGATTCTGCTTATTATAAGATGCATGGTATAATTGCCTGTAATTTGAATGATCAATGCTATGTATAATAGTGCTATTTTATTTTTAAATTTAAAATCTTCAACTATATATAACTTAGTGCATCTACTCTATAGCCTCTTTCTTCTCTTACTTCCTTTCCTGCAATTGATGCAATGAGCAATATTCGTCCATAATCTCTTTCTTTCATGAGACGGAGTGATTCTCGTGTCATTAGAAAACTTCCTCTGACATTAACTGCATGTGCATTAAGTAAATTAATAATACCAATTTTATTACATTTTTGATGTCCTTATGCTATGTAGAAAGTTTGAGCTGATTCTGACTATAATTTTTAAAGTTATGACCATTTTTTTAAAAACTCCAAATTTCAGAAAAATACCCTGTACTTATAGCCCATGGTTTTTTCCGAAAAATGGCTCCGAAATCACCTCCAATTTTTATTACATTTTCTGATACATATTGATGTACTTATGCTATGTAGAAAGTTTGAGCCAATTCAGACTTCAATTTCTCAAGTTATTACCATTTTGTAAAAACTCTAAATTTCGGAAAAATACCCTGTACTATAGCCCATGGTTTTTTCCGAAAAATGGCTCCAAAATCACCCCTCATTTTTATTACATTTTCTGATACATATTGATGTACTTATGCTATGTAGAAAGTTTGAGCCAATTCAGACTTCAATTTCTCAAGTTATTACCATTTTGTAAAAACTCTAAATTTCGGAAAAATACCCTGTACTATAGCCCATGGTTTTCTCCAAAAAATGGCTTTAAAATCACTCCCCCATTTTTATTACATTTTCTGATACATATTGATGTCCTTATGCTATGTAGAAAGTTTGAGCCGATTCCGACTTGAATTTTTCAAGTTATGACCATTTAAAAAAAAACTCCAAATTTCAGAAAAATACCCTGTACTATAACCCATGGTTTTTTCCGAAAAATGGCTCCGAAATCACCCCCAATTTTTATTACATTTTCTGATACGTATTAATGTACTTATGCTATGTAAAAAGTTTGAGCAGATTCCGACTTCAATTTTTCAGGCTATGACCATTTTAACTTCTAAAAATACCATGGGCTATAGTACATCCTTTTTGCAATGGTAAATGCCTTTTTCTAAAAATTGGTTCCATAAACGCACCAAATTTTTAATTAATGCATACATTTTAAAATTTAAATCAACTCATTTCTCAATTTTACTATTAATAACATAATTTTATGTCCCAAGTCAAAATGTTCTAGTCCCATACCTCCTTGTACTGCTTCCCAACCCTCTAATGTCACATCTTCAGTTTTGATACTAGTGGGCCCAACAATCCCAGCACAATTGACCATTATATCCAATCTATTGTGGAGCCCTTGGAATGAAGCAAAGGCTTCCTTTACTGATGCCTCGCTAGATACATCCACCTATCAAAAGAATAGCAGTTAGAAGAGGTCAGAGGCTTAATAAAGTAGTCTGGTTTTGTACTTTGACAAATTTTGCTCCAATTCTAGAGGCCACTGCAGCTCCTTTCTCTGCATCATAGTCGAAAATGACTACATTGCAGCCGTTGGAGACTAGCATAGTGCTCACAGCTTCTCCTAGACCCTGCGCCCCGCCAGTTACTATTGCTACTTGTTCACTAAAAGTTGCCATTTTGAAGTTTGATCTTTTGCAGAAATGAGCCCCGCCCACTTTTATGATTAAATAACTAACTGAATAACTTAACTTGTGTGTGACACAGCAGTGACACTGTGACAGACTTCTTCAAGAAAGTCATGGATGAGCAGAGATTGGAGTACCTTGAATTCTACAACCAGTCATGTAACGTGTCTACCATTAATTCTTCAAGCAGCTTTGTAAGTAAACAACCGGGTCTTCTTATAATTATACTTTATATAGGGGCCACCAATAGCTGTCATAAGAATCATTGGATCCATACTGAGGTATGAGAGAGAGGGGGAGGAATATAGTGTGGAGGAATAGTATTAGAATAATCAATAGACAACAAGAGGGCAAGACCCCATTAATGTATGTACTTAGTGGCCATCATGAGGTCTTAGTAATGATAACAGTATAATTCATGCTTAAGATAAAGCAATAGAAAAAAAACTTTATTTGAGCCTGCTACATTATGTTTCTGCTTATTAATGAGCCAATAGTCACTTATTATTATTATCCAATAAACAAGTGTTTATGTTATTTGAATTTACACTCTCTAACTGTCCATTTGTACCTTGTGGTGAAGATGAAGAGTAGCTGAAGTGTTGTTTAATTTTCATTGTTGCCTTTGTAGTATACTTGGTTCAACGTCTATCATAATTGCTGTATTTTTAACGGGGAAGCTAAGCAACATGGAGGTCAGTTCCTTTATTTATTTTCATTATTTTTATTGCCATTTTCAAAACATTACAGCTATTGATAATAAACACACAGCTCAAAAACTTTGAGTCGCATTGTAAAATTTTGTGGTATGCTGTTAAAAATAATTGTGCAAAAGTGGAGAATAATTTAAAGCCTTGCCAGTCTTGAAATACATTTACCTATCATTTAAAACTGTTATTATTTTTATTATTAGATTCATCCGTTATTCAGCCTTGCAGTTGGGGATTTCATCTTATCTTGTCTCTGGCTGTTTGGTGGCTCACTGTGGCTAGACACTTATCAGGACAGATATAGTGACATTCATCCTGGACTGGGCCTGTGCTACATACTGGCCATAAGCACAACTGTAAGAGGAGAGATAGAGAGAATACAGAGAATGAGAGAGAGAGAGAGAGAGAGAGAAGTGATCTAGGAAACTAGATAACTTTATGATTATGATACCTATGTCCTCTCTCTTTTCAAGATTGTTAATATGGTGACCTCGTTCTTAACTATCGTCTACTCCCTCCATGCTTTCATAGTAATGAGGCAACTTTCTAAATCTAGAGGACACATCTCGGTAAGTCACAGAATGACAACCATGTACTTCATCAAAAGGCATATTATTTCTTATCATAGAGAGGACGAACTTGCAAACAGCATCTCATCACAGCATTTGTGTATCTTGTAGCATGGTGAGTGAAATGTAACAATGTCCTCTTTATGTGTACATTACTTGCTTGACTTACTATCAACATACACTTGTGCGTGTACATTACTTGACTTATTATCAACTTGTACATATATGTACATTATATTTATTTGTTTGTTTTAGGAGCTTGCCTCTATTGTTGGTCCTACCAGTCACTGAGAGTATGATTGGCCTTGATATTGCTAACAACGCTTGCTGGTGAGTTCATGAATCATATGATTGATATCTCTCACTGTTGTGTCTGGGGGATTGTAATTAAGTTAAAAGGCATGCCACTATTGTAGTAGATAATTCCTAGCTACTCCCATGTGCTCTATTTGGTATTGGCTTCCCCATTGACTTCCCCATTGATTGTATAATTATGATAATATGAAAGAATAGGTGTGTTATCTTTAGTGTCTATTGTTAGGTGTTTTATTGATTTTTTTAACACTCGTCCTGGAGGTGGTCCTAACACAGTAAGTGCCAATAATATCCTAATAATATCCCGTTCCTGTCCTAATAATATCCTGACTTTAATTACAGGAAATCAGCGACTCTGACGATCTTGCGACAATCATTGCTGTATACAGTGGAGTCACCTTTGTTGTCACTGCTATCGCAATCATAGTGAGACATACATAAACACAGACAGATGTCATTATTTTGTTTCATACACAACATGCAGTTGCTTACAGGAAGACAATGTTGTGTTTTGATTTTTTATAAAATTTAGGCTCTTTATGCTGGAACACTTCATATGGCAAGGAAGGTTTTAAAGCATCAAAAAAGTAAGGAGTGGACGAAATTATATCAATTTCATATTACTTCTCATTTTTAGCTTTAAATTCTGAAATAAACTCAAGTAAAGTGATTAAGAAACTGGCGGGTAGAGCGGCAGCGTTTATCATCATATATCTGATATGTGGGTTACCATGTGAGTCAATATCATTGAGATCTCTTCTCATTGATACTGATTTGATATTAATATTGATACTTGATTTCAAATTCTATTTCTAGTTCTAGCAGGTGCCATTGACGTCTGGAAAGAAAATACCCCTCTCCATTTATTAGAAAAACCAGATCAAACCATCCTCTTCTGGCAGGTATCTAAATAACTTTAAAAACAAAAATAACATTATTTTCTCTTTTTCTAAGGCTATTTTTGGACCGCTACAAGGTTTTCTAAATGCCATAGTTTACGGCTGGTCAAGACCGGAGTTTAGACGGCTCTTTGTGACTCCGTGCAAGAAACTAAGACGAAGAATGAGAGTGAAGGATACTCATGTACTTATTGATAGTGTCGAAGAATATTCGTATTACCATTAAGAGAAATAGAGAGAGAGAGTTCCTTTTTTATTATTACGTGATTGATTTGTGACTGTTATGATTGTCTGTATATTGTATACACATCCTCCACATCAAGTCACTATAATAGTAATCATTATTATTATTATTACTTATTAGAAGTGATCGTTGTCATTATTGTTGTTGTTGTTTTATTATTTATTTGTTGAATATAATTTTGATATTACCAATTAACACACCTCTAGATAAATAATTACATGTTTCAGGTGGTACATTGTTTGATAGGAACAATTATCAATGCTCCAGGCTAGGAGGTCCTTGTTTAGAGGTGGATAACAAAGTACCCAATACACCTGTAAACAATGGGACTTTCTAATTACAATGACGCTCTCAAAAATAATTATCTTGACCAGGAGGTGCACTCAATAGAAAGTTTTTATTGTGGAAGCTGTGTAGAGGAGAGGAGAGGTGCAACAATTAGGAGGGTACGTTAATTGGGGTGAGTATGGTATATATAAATGAGAGGATTAAAAATCATAATAAGAAGTATACACATAACTTGATTCACAGATTGTAGTATCACAGTTATTACAGCACAAGGTCAAGTGAGGTATGGGTCATGCTTATGAAGCACATAATATATATATTACAATAACTTACAAAGCTTTATTTTTATAGTATAGTACATGCCAGTGTCTTCTTCCCTTAGTCTGTCATTATATGTTCCAATAGTAATGCTACAATATTTATGATGTCGTCTTTTAAGATCCTAGTGATGTCAGCAAGCTGCTCAACAATACCGTCAGTTTTACATTGATCAAGAATGAACGCGGAGGCTCCAACAATACCTGATGCCAGTAACAGGTAATTAAGCTCAAGTAGCGGAGGAGTCTCTTCTTTTTTACTTGACGACGGGGTCTTAGGGTCGCTAGTCCTTATCTTGTCGTGGAGGAGAGAACTAGAGAGGTAATAAGCATCAAGTATCTTGACACTGATCCCATGGAATTGCTTGACTGGTAGAGTACAGTCGTAATGCCCCAAGGCTTCAAGAAGGACTTCGATAAAATCCAGCGGAGTAGGCCCATTAATGCGATAGTCCAGGGTTTTAAGGATCCTAATCTCAGACTGAATAAGAGAAGAGGGTGCATAGCGAAAGCCACAGGCTGCAAGAAAATTCCGAGCTCGACTCAAGTTTATAATCTTGTAGTGTAGGCTAAGCTTGCTGGCTAGTTGGAGGCAAGTGAGAGCCCTAAGAGAGACCTGGTGGGCCAATCGGCTTTCAACAGACTCCCAACTGATGGGAGAGTTGGAGGTTTGAGAGAGTTGTACGTGAAGATACAGTTCACAAACATGTCTTGACATGAAGGAGTGAAACAGCTCAATGGCTCGACACCTTATATCAGGCGGGAGGTTAAAATAATGTGACATGCGCATGAAGTGGGCGATCGGTCTACCGGTACGAAACACGCCTTGACACTTATCAAACGGGACAACATGATGGGCCTCACCTGAAGAAGAATGGCCTGAAACTCTTTCAGTGTTAATACGCGAGAGGGCGAGGAGAGAGTCCTCCAGTAAGAGATAGCTGTCTCTTTGGTTGAAGAGTGGCTCTGGTGGCGAGGCAAATATAGAAGGAGAGCTAGTACGACTGGTAGAAGGAGGAGAGGACGAGAGTGACTGATTGTGGGGCTCCATGGCTACTTCAAGCTTTGGCCTCTTCTTGTTGTAACGAGTCGTGACTTGCTTTGTACCAAACAAATAGGAGGAGGAGGAGACAAGGGCTGCTGCCCTTGTTGTATTATTATGAGTACAACGTCTCATGTTAAAGTGAAGAAACTGTTGTTCAAGAAGCCATCCTGTCCAACCATGATGTTCCACGTGTCAACTTCCCGCCCTCTTTATCCCACCCACGCATTCAGCTTATTTTAATTTACTGGCATTATTGCGCAATAAATCCCACCCACGCAATTGATACCAGCTACGCCCACACCAATGTTTTTGGAGTGCAATAATAATTATCAAATGAAAAACAATATTAATTATTATTATATAGTATAGTATAGGAGGGGAGATGCTATATACACAAAACACAGTTCTGAAAGTACACACGGCAAGCAGGCACCAACAACAGTTGCCTGCACAAAAAATCAAAGAGATGCTTTAAATTATTATAATAATAATTCATGTATGTATTATATGTGCTGTTCAGTTAGTACGAGTTGTTCCAATTAATGTGCTTCGTCAACAATTTGATGCGGAGGAGTGACAACCCGCCCACTGTCAATCTTTAGCATCTGTAGCGCTTGTCCCCCAGTAGCAGCTGATGCTACAAAAGGGGATAGACCAGCTCCTTTTGAGACACCTGCAGCACTAACTATAAATGGAACTGAGCGTACATATTGCACACTCCCGTCTCCACTAACACTAGGATGTGGTACACCCCCTGTGTTTAATTGCATGAGTGTGCTTGGGGTTCCCGGGGTGACCAGTGGTTGTAACAGTAAACTGCTTTTCCCGCTAATTGTTGACAGAGCGGTGACCGGAACAAGAATCTGCTGTTGTCCCTGTGTTGTTTGATGTGCGTGGATTCCATTCACATGGCTACGATGTTTAATTAAATCTAGAGAAGAGGCAGGAGAAAGATGAGGGGGAGGAGAAGGAGAGGTAAATATCTGACGAGGCTGCTGTGGGATCATTAAAATATTTTGAATTCCATTAGCGGAGACCCCGGGGGTCGATATCAGTGGAGGAGGAGGCTGGATGACAGTTGGACGTGGGGAATTTTGAGGTGATCCTTCGTTGTCCGAATCGCTATCCGAACTATCACTGCTCGTGTGAGAAGCAGGCTTTATGTATGAGTTACTTGGTAGCAGCATTGGGGCTGATTGGGGGACGGTGAGACCGCCCTGGTGGTGGTGAGTGGCATTTGTGGTTGGCGTAGGATTTAACTGTACAATTTGGAACGTGGGGACGACCGAGGGGCCAGTGTGAGCTGGATAAATGGCTTGGTGGGTGGTGTGACTTGTAAGAAGAGGAGAAGCAGTAGATGAGACTGCATCAGTCCCATTATTGTATACTACATAAAAAGGAGGCGTAGGGGGAAGAAGAGGGGGGCTGGTGGTAAGGGGATGTGGTGCAGCTGAAATAAGTGGTGGGGTTAGTCGTTGACGGATTTTATTATAATCCTCAAGTTGAGTGGAGCCTCGTAGCTTTTTGAGGCTCGCTTCATCGTCACTAGCACTGGACTTCCTTTTAAGGGAAACTAGAGAGAGAGAGAGAGAGAGAGAGAGATAGGTAACATAAACAATATCAACCCTTGTGGTGGATAATGAAAACTCACTTCTTCTATCTTCATTGCTTGATCTGATGGTTTCCTGAGACGGGCTCACTATAGGAACTGAATTGTAGACTACACCATCGTCGCTGCCAGTTTCACTACCTGATTGTGGTGGATAGCTGCACGTTAGGAGAGTAAGAGTAAGAGAGAGAGTTGAAGACAAACAGAAAGAAAAAGGGGAGAGAGAGGGAAGAGAGAAAAAAACACAGCATCACTCACAATCATAACAATAATTTGTTTAAACTCACGATAGCTTAATTGGCCTAGTCCTATTCCTTGACATGGGCTGCCTAAACCCTTTAGCAAAAGGATTGTTTTCAATCTTGAGTTGAGTAATCTACGCATAATTAAAAGGGAGAGAGAGAGAGAGAGAGAAAGTGTGCAAGTGTAAACTTCCCCACACTAAGTGCTTTCTGCTTACTTTGTCATTTTGGTAAGCAGTGACGGTAGTGAATTGAGTTCCAGGGAAGATTATAGTGTGGAAGTCCTCCCAGTTCAGATTATGCCTGTCACTAGACTCAACAATATGCAGCCGAGGCTGATAGCAATGCATGCTGTTGACTATTATCTGCAAGAGAATAATACAATTACTGATGAGCTGATGTGCCAATTAGTAGTTTCAAGAATTGCCATGTCTGCAGGTGGCTATACTAGCAGACCGTGCTAATGAATGCAAGGTGCATCTAACAGCTTTCTCAGTGGCAGTATGGTTGTGGGTCTATTTTTCTGGCTAATCCTGGCAGCCATCCCAAATTGTGATAGTGCTATTATTCAATGTACTGTAATGCCATGTAGTTTCATTGAAAATATTTATTGTGCGATATGCTTATGTAGCAAGGGTCTTTACTATGTTACAATTACATTTATCTCCTTACATGCCCTTGTTTGTCAAGTTGATTATTTGTTAGTTTCAGTTTGTAGAACGAAATGATGTGATCGGTCCAGAATGACCCCAAGGCTGGACTGTCAGGATGAATGTAGAGTCTAGTGGGGGCACAGGCTTCCTCAAAGCACTTGACCCAGTTAGAGTTCTGGTACTTGTAGCGATACTTGTCGACCGGGACAAGATCCATGAGTAGGACGTAGAAAGAGTTGGGATTCAAGTTTTGTAGCTCAACTTTGATTGGAGGGAACATACGCCTATGAAAATAGAGAAAGAGGGAGAGAGAGAGAGAGTAATTTAGATGCCAAGAGTGTGGACAATAGCCAAACAAAAGAATTTGATGTAAAAGGTAGGCATTTGGCTCCAGTTTTATGATTCGAGGCCTGATGCCAAAAATGATAACAGTAACTAAACCATTGGCTCCGTCCCCATTGTGTATGTATATGTATGACAGAGATATGTATATGCATGAGTTGTGTATGTATATGTATGAGGGATTGTTGTGTGTACAGATAGGGGCTATGTACAGCTAAGTATGGCTGGGAGAGTTTATCTATCGGTTTCCCACTAGAAGCGAGTGCCAAGACGACGATTGTTGATAGCAGGCACCTCACCTGTCAAGAGATATAGTAATCCTCACGCTTATTTCTTAGAATATAGTCAGGAAGAGAGAGAGAGAACAAATGCTTATTGTTCAATGCAAACCTGCCTATTCCAGACATCCTGGAAGTGTCCTTATTTCAGAGGTTCATCAATACAGGTTTATATTGTATTGGGACTGATGCTACCTGTCCCCATTATAGAGGTGTCTTTTTTAGCGTGTACACAATAGCAGGCTTGATTGTACATGCATAAATGTATTAGTCGTGTGTTTTTAATGAATAATGCATTAGCACACACTTATTAAAAAAGCAGGCCAGTAGTGGAAAGATAAGCAAAAAGTCATTAGGTGGTAATACAGTGTGTAGCTGAATGCCAAACAGTGTCAAACAGCTTGTGAAGTGAAAGTTTATATTACACCTAACTAATGAATACTGTCATTACATATTTAAGCATTACACCTATAGTAAAAGGGCTTTTTATTTTGTGAGCTTTTGAGTCAGTAGTATGCACACACAGCTATTAAGTCTCCCACCATATCACAATACGGGAGACGTGTACTAGTACAACAAATTGAATACAATTTGTTCCAAGAAACAGAGACTTAATGATATTCATTGCCTCCAAGAAGGGAAGGAAATGCATTAATTTGTGGGTGAGTGTAAACATACTGCTTCACAAATATGCATATACGCATAGAAACATCTCATCATCATAACAAAGCTTTCTGGTACAATGGATGGATGGTTTAGCTGCCACGAGTAAGTGGTTAATGGGGTTTAACGCAGGCCATAGCTACGTAAACTGACTATAGAAGCTAAGCTCTTATCTCTAATGCATAGTAGTACCCGATTGTAGGCTAGCAATCAGAATTAATGGCAAAGAGTGGTTTTGCCATAGGTGGGCTGAATAGCTTTCTTTTCTTTAGCACCGCCATATGTCACTGTTGGGTTTATTTGCATGGGACAACGTAGCATTGATTAGTTAAGAGATCTTCCAATTGGACAAAGGCCATATGCCTGCCTGTCTGTCTCTCTACCTGCTAAGTATATTATAAAAGCTGGTTTCTATATTATACTTAATGGCCTTGCACTTTCTCTTTCCCTTTGACACATGCAGTTATAGCATAAGGCTGAAGCCATTTGGTTGCAAACAGCTAAGGTGTGACTTTGCTTAGTTTCAAGTCACACTCTCCCCCTCTTCTTGTCCCACTGTTTGGAAAACAGAGAGAGCATTGTGTAGCTAGCAACTGTGCAACTGTTTATTAACAACTTGCATGTCAAAAGATTTCTTGGAATTGGAGAGAGTAAAAGTGAGTGACAGAGTGAACACATGCATGTGAATATGCAAAAGGGAGAGTTGCATGCAGCATATATAGAGTATACAGGTCACATACCAACTGGTACATGCTAATTTATCTATTCACACTTGGTGCAATTGGCTGTCTGGGCTCCAGGTGACAATCGAATTAACACATATGCATTACAATTCATGCCATGTATAGAGAGAGACCAATCAACCCTTACCTCCCTCTCCTTGTCACAATCATCTCCGTCCCGAGAGCATCGAATTGTCGCCAGAGCTCCTTTGTATCAAGTACGGCGCTCATTTTCGAGTGCTGGCCCGATTGGTTCATTGCGTGAACTGCCATTGGCTTTAGTTCTTCTTCTTCATCTTCATTTACATGTTGAGGTTGCTTGTAAAAAGAAGGCTGGATGAGGACTGGTAGCTCTTTTGGGCTCGATACAGCCATCATCTACAAATAAGATACAGAGCACATTACATAGTTATCATAGGAATGCTGTGTGATATTTATTATGATAATGTCTGTCTGCAATGAATATTGTCTTCTTTCTCTTAGTAGTGGCTGCTATAGTCATAATACAGCCTAGTTGTTGCAGGAGCCATGTCTCCTTGTACAAGCTACATACCTTAGTCAAGGAGTGATTGCTTTAAAGGCAGAGAGAATGTCAAGTTCAATTCGATGGAGGGAGAGAGAGTGGTGAGAACGGTTGGCGGCTGCACTGCGGAGCGTTCTTTTTGTTATAAGGAGGTATTGAGTAAGCCAAAGTCCTCTTATATACCTGCAGTAGTGTTATTGGTGACGACTGTTCTGCATTTCCTGCTGCTCCCAAAAATAGAGAAATAAACAGGCCATATACCACGAGACGCTTGCTCAAAGAAGATAATTAGCACGGATGTAGGGTACGGCCCATATCTTAATAAACAAATGGGGGAAAACAAGTAAAATGGCCGCCGGCTCGACCTCGGTCTTTTTTTACGTGCCAAACCTCATAGGTAAGCCACTTAATGATAATATCTTTTAAACTATGCTTGCGTGGGTCTTTATTTTAAAATGAGCATGATAGAGCAAGCAGCAAAAGAGCTACATAGACTGAATAACAAAAGTAATACAATTAAGACATTAGTCATTATTACAGAAACCATAATACTACAGCACAGGTCACAGCCTATGTCAACATAGCTTTTTCATGTCAAGTGTTCCTTATAGCCTTGGGCTATTGGGTGTGATCTAGAACAGCCTCAAAGTTACATAAAAGTGACATCATAATGAACTAGTTTCGAATACAATGAGCTAATATCTTATTATTAAGAGAGGTATACTACCCATTGTATCAGATCACTTTTCTTTTAGGATACCTACGACTCTTACTAATAGTACTTACATGGCTGCTCTTTGAGAGGGTCTATTGGTTTCTGCCTTTGTACTCGCTTCAGATGTGCTTGGATGGTAAGCGAAGAAAAGAGAGAGAAAACAATTTCTCCGAGAAAGAGAGAGAGAGAGAGTGGGCAAAGTGTGAAATGGTAGTGGGTGAGGTGTGAAATAGAAAGAAGAAGGTGATAAAAACATGACACAAAGAAGGAGTGGCTCCTTGGACATAAATGTGCCACACACAGGAAGGAGAGCATTATGCAAGAAGGATGTGGCATCCTTTAAAATGACTATTACACACTCAATTATAATTCTTTACTCTACAAAGCTCATGTGTCATAATTCTGAGAAAAGAGTAAGGGTATGTGTACATGCTTGCGTGTCCTCATGCCCATATGATATATGCCTTGGGAGGAAGGATGTCATTATGACAAAAGAGGTCTTATGAATGTGTGAGCTGTCATATCTTCACAGCGATATCACCTTTCTTTTCTCAACTAGTTCAAAAGAGAAGCGGTTTTGGATATAGCATGTGATAGTATTAGGAGCAATGTCTCATTTTCTTGGAATTTGACATGTTATATATATATATGTGTGTGTGTGTGTGTAT